CAAAACAAACATATAACACCGACAACTTGTATTGTGTCAAACATCTGAAAACTGGTATAACAGCAGAGTATAGCACCTTTGCTAGCACCGGAGCACAACAACGACCATACATAGCATTTGTATGAGTGGATATTATTATAGATCCATGGGGAATATAGAGAGATAGATAGATACTTTATTGATCCCCGAAGGAGAAATTCAGGTGTCCAGTAGCAGCAAAAAGGAAAAAGAAAATTGATCATTCAAAAAAAAAAAAGAACAGCCCTTCAGGTCACAGCAGCAGAGGTGAAGGTGTGGCTCAGAGAATAGACTTTAAAACAGCTCTGCTTGTTACAAGTCTCTCCATGGCCTCGCACCAAACTATATTAGTGACATGTTAGTCCCATATGAACCAGCCCGGACTCTGAGGAGCACAGGGACTGGACTCCTGCTGGGACTCTGAGGAGCACAGGGACTGGACTCCTGCTGGGACTCTGAGGAGCACAGGGACTGGACTCCTGCTGGGACTCTGAGGAGCACAGGGACTGGACTCCTGTTAGTGCCCAGAGTCAGAACTAAACATGGGGAGGCTGCTTTTCAGATTCATGCTGCTAAAATCTGGAACAGTCTTCCTGAAGATGTGAGACAGGCCTCCTCTCTGACAATGTTTAAAACCAGGTTAAAGACAGTTCTGTTTAACTGTGCTACAACTGAGGGATTTTATATTTTTATCTTTTTTTTAATGTGCTGTGATTATATATGATTTTAATGCTTTCTTGTTTTGTTCAGCACTTTGAGTTGCCTTGTGTATGGATTGTGCTATAGGTGCTAGCAGGACAGGTCACAGCCGCAGAGGTGGAGTAGCCTCTGGGTGGAGCAGGACAGGTCACAGCAGCAGAGGTGGAGTAGCCTCTGGGTGGAGCAGGACAGGTCACAGCAGCAGAGGTGGAGTAGCCTCTGGGTGGAGCAGGACAGGTCACAGCCGCAGAGGTGGAGTAGCCTCTGGGTGGAGCAGGACAGGTCACAGCAGCAGAGGTGCAGTAGCCTCTGGGTGGAGCAGGACGGGTCACAGCAGCAGAGGTGGAGTAGCCTCTGGGTGGAGCAGGACAGGTCACAGCAGCAGAGGTGGAGTAGCCTCTGGGTGGAGCAGGACAGGTCACAGCCGCAGAGGTGGAGTAGCCTCTGGGTGGAGCAGGACGGGTCACAGCAGCAGAGGTGGAGTAGCCTCTGGGTGGAGCAGGACAGGTCACAGCAGCAGAGGTGGAGTAGCCTCTGGGTGGAGCAGGACAGGTCACAGCAGCAGAGGTGGAGTAGCCTCTGGGTGGAGCAGGACAGGTCAGAAGATGGAGTAGCTGCTTGGTTTGGACCATTTTCTCTGCTCTGGTCCAAAGTAAAATGCTAAATGCTTCATTAGCATATGACAGTGGCTCTAAATGTTGACTGTTAAAGCAATCACTAAAATGTTTAATTGTTAAAGCATTTTCTTAACTTTGAAATGAGACATAACATTTTTACATTTATTAGTTTTGTTAATTCCCAGAGATAACACACTGCAGTCGTATCGGTATCGGCAAGAACCCAAATGGAGGTACATTAAAGAGAGAAGATCACAGCTGAACAGAACTATTTTAACCTGGATGTGTTCTCCTCCTTCCACTGCTCTGTACCTGCCGATGCAACACTGACATTTCCCCTCAGTGGGACCGATAAAGCCCCTGTTCGTCTTTATCCTGCTCTTTATGCGACATCACATTAGCTCCTCTCTTTCATCTCCAAATACACACAGACCCTGAATCAGCCACAACAAAGTTCCCGATTTCAATTTGTGATTAGTTCAGTGTTTTTATTTGTGCCTGGGACAGATTGGGAGCTGGTTATGGAGGTAATTCTGAAAGTCTGGGAGCAACGACGGCTTCAGGAAGGAGAAAGTATTAAAAAACATTTATCTACGAGTGTCGGAGCCGCAGGAGTAAGTGGTTAGTTTAAGGTACATATTGGTTTAGGGAAATGAATTTACTGTCAGGAAACTGCAATATAAGTTTGGGATGAAACTTTCAGCTTTGAAATGAGTTTGCAAAACGTACACAAGGAAGATTTGTTGGTTGTTGTTGTTATTGGCTCTGATTACTGGGAGCAACGTAGCTAATAAACAAACCGGGTTTCAAGAGAAAGATGGCGAGATATGGGACCTTTGGAACATCAAAGGTTGGGGATAAACAACTTTCTATGTTTTAAAGGTCCCATATCTCGATCCTTCTTTGTGTTTCTCAGTCTAAACCAAGGGTGTCAAACCGGTTCCAGAAAGGGCAGGTGTGGCTGCAGTCTGCTGTTCCAGTCTAAGCAGGAGCTGGATTCGCCTGAGGAAATGGGTGGAGTCCAGTGAGCTCCTGCTGGCTGAGGTCGGAACCAGTGTGGGCGGGTCCCGGCTCAAAAATGTCCAATGTATAGCATCTTCTTACCTCTGAAAAACGTCTTTAAAGGGGACATATCATGAAAAATCCACTTTTTGTGTCTTAAATGCCTTATGTTGTGAAGTTGGAGCCTCTAGAAGTGCAAAAAAGTTGAAATCAGTCTCTTCATGGGTTGCAGAGAACACTTCATATTCTGTTTAGGTAAGATTTTTCAACCCGTTCTGATTTTGCCATTCTCTATTACGTGTTTAGAATTATTACGTCACAGTGTTTACAGTGAGACTGCTATATAAGGGCATGGGCGTCTAACAAAACACTTCGGCCCAGCCCTCCTCTACTGTGCATCACTTAACTTGTAGTCCAAGCTCAAGAATGCCAGCGCACAAGGCTGGACTGGCCATCGGGCGTACCGGGCAATGCCCAAAGGGCCGATGCCCATATTTGGGCCGGTCTGTCTGCCTCATACAAAACACATGTTTATGAGAAGTGTAAATCCGTTGAGAATTGTTGGAGCGGGGCGCGCGTATCCGCGGGGCACCTGCTGTATGTACTCGAACGGGATTCCACCACCTCAGCGGCCGCAGTGTTCCGGGGCATCTGCGGCCGCTTTGTAATGAGCAGCTTCCGTGTCCAGCGGCTGCGAGAGGCTGTGAGCGTCCAGCGGCTGCGAGAGGCTGTGAGCGTCCAGCCGCTCGCAGCCGCTCCACCGTGTTGTGGCTGAGCGCGCAGCCTCAACGTGGCCATGTACCCAACCCCATAAACGTGCACAGGACCATGCGTGTCTTTGAGTAATCTGTGCACCCAATAAATACACTGCTGCAGGAAACAGTCCTCTCCTCTCGAAGCGCGATTAAACGCCCTAAATAAAGCTACCTACATTTTGCATTGCATTAAAAGTTCATGTTTGAGCCCAAAAGTAATATGTTGTGAACAAATTAAACAGATTTAGAGCCAGCAAATGGCTGACAATATGCATTTCAGTCTTTTTTGACCAATTCTCATCCCTGTAACAAACAATAGTGTTGTCTGTGTCCACCTCCCTCACTCTGAGACATGTTCATTACTCTCTTTAATGCAGACTATTGCATTTTATTTTATTGTTGAAACTGCACATATCCTGATCCTCTACAGCACATATGTCAGAGTCAAGGCCCGCGGGCCACATCCGGCCCGCAAGAAGGTTTTTTACGGCCCCTGGGATGATCTTGATTTATTATTAGAACCGGCCCGCAGACCGCAGCAAGCCGGCAGCCCGCAGATCTTTTACACGCACCAATACTACATTTCCCACAATGCAACGGTGACGCACCGAGCAGTAGGCTGCTTCATTTCAATATTTATTGGCACAGCAGTCGTTAGCATCACAGTAAAATTAACTTTCAGATACCCATCAAAAATGGCAAAACGGAAGGTGGACACTGAGAACCGGGGGTTTCAAACAAGGTGGGAGTCGGAGTATATGTTCACGGAGGTAGCTGGAAAACCTGTGTGTCTTCTGTGTGGAGAAAGTGTGGCGGTACTGAAAGAGTATAATCTGAGACGACATTATGAAACGAAACACGTGGACCAAAACAAGAATATGGACATGGAACAAAGGCTATAAAGGCAGAGGAATTAAAACGAGGCCTCAAATCTAGACAGGCTCTGTTCAAAAAGGCCAAATCACAAGGCCAGGCTGCTGTCAAGGCCAGTTTTATTTTGGCAGAAGAGATTGCTAAATCAGCCCGGCCATTTACGGAGGGGGATTTCATCAAAAACTGCATGATTAAAGTTTGTGACGAAGTTTGCCCAGAAAAAAGGCAACTCTTTTTAAATGTGAGTCTGAGCAGAAACATTATTGCCGAGAGAGTAGACCAGTTGTCCATCAATCTAAAAGAGCAGCTTGTAAAAAAGGGAAAAGATTTCATTGCATATTCCTTGGCTGTGGATGAGAGCACCGACATTTCTGACATTGCCCAGTTGTCAATTTTCATCCGCGGAGTGGACTCCAGCCTAAGCGTGACAGAGGAGTTTTTGGCTTTACGTCCTATGCATGGCACAACTACGGGGCATGATTTGTATGAAGGGGTGTCAAGATGTGTAAATGAGATGGAGCTGCCTTGGGAAAAACTCGTGGGTTTGACAACCGACGGAGCACCTGCGATGTGTGGACACAGGAGCGGACTGGTGGCGAAGATACGGGAAAAGATGCAAGAGGAAAACGCGACAGGTGAGCTGACAGCTTATCATTGTATCATACACCAGGAAGCGTTGTGCGGTAAAGCCTTGAAAATGGAGCATGTAATGAGCATCATCACGCGCACAGTTAACTTTATCAGAGCCAAAGGTTTGAATCACCGCCAGTTCAAGGCATTTCTGACGGAGTTAGAAACGGAGCATGGTGATTTGCCCTATCACACAGAGGTGCGATGCCTAAGCCAGGGAAAGGTGCTTCAAAGATGTTTCGAGCTTCGTGAGGAGATTTGTCTGTTCTTGGACAGCAAAGGGAAAGACACAACACAACTCCGAGACGAAATGTTTCTGTGTGAAATGGCTTTTCTGTGTGACATTACGAGTCATCTGAATGCAATGAACTTGCAGCTGCAGGGTCGGGATCATGTCATCTCTGATATGTACAGTACGGTGAAGGCATTTAAAACCAAACTGACTCTGTGGGAGACGCAGATGCGGAAAGAAAATTTGAGCCACTTTCCCAGCTGCCAGACCATGAAAGAGAAGCTCTCTACCAGTGCGTTCCCGAGCGCACAGTTGGCTGATAAAATAGGTATGCTTGCCGCTGAATTTCGACGCCGATTTGCTGACTTTGAAGCACAAAAAAGCAGGTTGGAACTGCTCGGTAACCCATTTGCTGTTGACGTGGAAAGCTCACCACCAAACCTCCAAATGGAGTTGATTGACCTCCAATGCAATGATGCACTGAGGGCAAAATATGCGGCAGTGGGTGCTGCGGAGTTCGCCCGTTTCCTCCCCGACACAATGCCCCAGCTGCGCATCCAGGCTGCTCAAACGTTGTCTATGTTTGGCAGCACATACCTGTGTGAACAACTGTTTTCTTTGATGAACCTGAACAAAACATCACACAGAAGTCGACTTACTGCTGAACACCTCCACTCAATTCTGAGGATTTCCTCAGCTCAGAGCCTTACCCCGAACATTGATGAACTTGTGGAAAAGATGGGACACCACCAAGTATCACCCTCAACCTCAAACAAGTGAACATTACTGTGCAATCACATATTTAGAGTTTTTACTCAGTTCAAGCTTAAAAGTTAATTATATTTTAAAAATATTTCAGTTGAGTGGATGATAGAAAATTGCTATTATTGTTTTTTTCTTTGAAGTAAATTTAGCCCACTTTTGCTAAAATAGAAAATATAGGCTACTGATGATGCCTTGAATACCGGTTTCTTTCATTTAATGTTCATGTTATGGGGATTTTTATATAAAGGAAATTTGTCTTTTGTGTCTGTTGAAAATTAAAGATTACTGACAGAGCCATAAGAAAATATTGCTTTATTTATCTGATCATATTGGAATATATTTGTTAGGTTTTCAGTAGGTTCAATTAGGTTCACTAGACTATATGCGTCATTTAAAAAATGTTCAATGAACATTCGAACAGTCCGGCCCTCGGCTTGTAGCTAAATTTTTTATTTGGCCCTCCGTCCATTTGACTTTGACACCCCTTGTGACGGAGCGCCAGTGACTGCTCCGTCATGAACTGTGTGGTGCTCTCTCCCTGCGCTGAAGAGAGGAGCGCGTCTGCGTGCGTGTGGCGCGGCATGCCGGCAGGTCCGCGCTAGTAACCGCACGGCCCTGCATCAACACAAACTCTTCCCCTGCCAATACTATCCCCGTAGCGCACAAGGGTGCACACTTGCTGCCTACACACACATCTCATCTTCCCCCATACACAACTCACCTGCTGCTTGTCTCGGTCCACTGGCCAAACCGAGGCACTTCCTGGTCGCACCATATATAGCGCAGGGCGCGCGCATGTGACTGGCCAGAGGACTCTAATTTCTTAAAGTATTAAAAATGTGTTTTTTTTTCTATTTGTGCATTGCTATATGGGGCAATGGAGAGGCATGTTCACACTGAGGAACAGGGAGGGAACTATGTGTGGGATTTCGTTGTTTTTCTGTTTAGAAGAAAAACCCCTGTTAATTTATTAATGGGTTAGCCCAGGGGCGGGGCTAACTAGTTAAAAGAGTGCGTGCTCACTCCGGAGTGTGGTCTGTCAGTCTGTGAGTGAGCTGGAGTGAGCTGGACTGAAATCGAACCCAAACTGAGCTGGCTGTAAGTCCTGTCTGTTTTTGTGAGTCTGTTGTTTTTCCCTGCACTGTAAATATGTTTCACTGTTCACTGTTTTGGTGTGTAAATAAAACCACCACAATTTATTTTCCCGTCTGAGCCATCATTATTCCCATCATTTTTAAACAAACCTTCACATTTGGTGTCAGAAGTGGGATGGCTAGTCGGCGTATGAAGACTTTTGCTAAGCGCACAGGACTGCGCTCAGGGAAGCTGGAAACAGTGCAGGATGACCCAGCCTGGGTCACAGACGAGGAAGACGCAGGGGGCGCTACTGCTCCTCTCCTTAAACAGCCAAGACCGGGAGAAGCCAGCGCGCAGGAGATGCTCGCCATGATGCGGTCTTTCATGGAGGGTCAGGAGCGGCGCGAAGACCGCTTCCTGGCGGAGCTCAGAGGATTGAGGGACTCGTTTCCAGTACCAGACTGTACCAGGTCGCCATCAGAGGGCACAGAAACGAGTATGAGACTGGATCTGCCTACTCCAGCACCCCGCAGACGCCGCAGTTCCGCCGAACCGCAGAGGCCCAGTTTGGGATCGGAGAGGGTGCGGTCCCGACCGGAAAGTCGACCCGCCGGGGACCCAAAGATTCCCCAGTACCTGGCCGGGGAGGACATTGAAAATTACCTCCTCCGATTCGAGAGGATTGCCAAAACCTGGGGTTGGCCAGAGTGTGAGTGGGCGTGTCGTTTGGTGCCACTACTCTCTGGGAAGGCACTCGAAGCGTACACCGCTATGGACGAGGAGCGGGCTCACACATATTCGGATCTTAAGGACGCTTTGCTCACAAAATTTGACCTATCCCCAGAGACCTACAGACAGAAGTTCCGGACGGTGACGATTCCTGCTGGAGAGAACCCTGCGGAGACGTACCACCGCCTCAAGGGGCTCTACCGCCGATGGATCCGCCCGGAGCAGCACACGAAGGAGCAGATCGGAGAGCAGATCATCCTGGAGCAGCTTCTGCGTGTTTTCCCTGCAGATATCCGCACCTGGGTGAAGGAGCACGAGCCGACAGAGGGCCTAGCGGCGGCTAAACTAGCGCAGCAGTACCTCAACGCTCGGAGAGGAGGCCCGGCGCCTTACCAAGGTGGTCCCGGACGTCAGACTCCAGCACAGACCAGCTCTGGCCAGAGTCCACACACAGCAGTCTCCAGACTCCAACCATGCAGCCAGCCAGCGCGGTCCCGGTAAGGACTTTGTGTGTTTTTATTGCCAGCAGTTGGGGCACAAAGCCTCTGTGTGCCCAATAAAAAAAGCTAAATTGACTGGCGCATGTTACACACCCCGTGCAGAGGACTTAAGTGCTGTAGGCAGGCGTCAGCGCTTCAAAGAAGTCTCTATTAATGGAGATCCTGTGACTGCCCTGATTGACTCTGGGAGCTATATGACACTGATTCGGAGGGATTTAGTGCCAACGGGCCAGGTGGATTATAGCAGAAAGGAGGACATTTTCTGTGTACACGGTGACAGACATTCTTACCCAACAGCAGAACTCACACTAGTGGTCAATAAGCAGCCCTATTTATTGACTGTGGGGGTGGTAGAAGGGTTACCTGTAGCAGCTATTTTGGGTTGGGATATACCTGTGCTGTTGGACATACTGCGGGAAGAGGGACCCAAGGACAGTGACTGTGGAAGGGGGTTTTCTGGACTGGTGATTACTCGTTCACAGGCTAAAGCGGGGGGTAAGCCAGTCCCAGTTCAGAGAGTACCAGAGCCTGAACTTGAGCCATTTTCCACATTGGACTCTAGTTTATTTGAAGGGGGAACAAAGGGGCCAAGAAAGTGTCGCAAGCAGCGGCGCTTCGAGAAAGGGCTAAAGCGGGCAGAGCCAAACTGTCAGGACTTTTTGTGGGAAGTTCCGGCGGACATTGGGGCAGTGCAAAGAGCGGACGCAACATTAAAATCACTGTTCGCGAAAGTGATTGGGGGACTAGATATGGCAAAGGGGGACAAGGATTGTTTTATTGTTGACAGTGCTATTTTGTATGCAGTGGCAGACGGTGTCAAGCGCCTCGTGGTTCCTGTGTCCTGCCGGCCAATGATTATGCACCTGGCACACACCTTGCCTTGGGCTGGTCATCTGGGCCGCAACAAAACCCATTTACGCATAGCCTCGAGGTTTTATTGGCCGTCTATGTATACAGATGTCCAAAACTACTGCAAATTCTGTCCTGTCTGCCAGAAAACTAGTTTTGTTCGCCAATCTGACCGTGCGTACCTCCAACCTATGCCTGTCATTTCCACCCCATTTCGCCGCATAGCAATGGACATTGTAGGGCCCTTAGTTCGGAGCAGTGGAGGCCACCAGTACATCCTGGTCCTCTGCGATTATGCCACACGGTTCCCCGAGGCGTTCCCCTTGCGCACCGTTACTGCCCCTGCTGTGCTGCGGTGTCTTGTTCAGTTGTTTTCCAGGGTTGGTGTCCCGGACGAGATTGTGACGGACCAGGGGACCAACTTCACCTCCCGCCTGATGCAGCTCTTCCACCGCCAGCTGGGAATCTCTGCGATCAAGACCACCCCGTACCACCCACAGACGGACGGTTTGGTCGAGAGGTTCAACCAGACGCTGAAGAGGATGCTGCAGAAATTTGTGGCCGATACCGGACGGGACTGGGACCAGTGGCTACCCTACCTGCTCTTCGCCTACCGAGAGGCACCCCAAGCCTCCACCGGTTTCTCCCCGTTCGAGCTGCTCTATGGATGGGATGTCCAGGGTCCGCTAGACCTGCTACTGAAGGCCTGGGAGGCTCCCGCCTCGACCACCAGCGATCGCCATATTGTCCAGTTTGTGTTGGAGATGCGTGATCGGCTGGCCAAGTATCGGAGGAGGCGGAGGTCAACCTACGCGCTGCCCAGCGGTCCCAGAAGGCGTGGTACGACCAACAGGCCCGACATCGCGAGTTCCAGCCCGGTCAGAAGGTCCTGCTACTCCTGCCATCGTCCACCCACAAGCTTCTGGCGAAGTGGCAGGGGCCATACTCTGTGGTCAGGAAGATGGGCCCTGTGACCTACGAGATCCACCACCCAGAGAAGAGGAAAGCGAAGCAGACCTACCACGTCAATCTGCTGAAGGAGTGGAAAGAGGCGGCAGTTCCAGCTTCCATGGCGTCCCTGCTGGTGACCGAGGTAGACAGTGACGGGGAGGAAGAGTCTACGCTTTCCGACCTCCAGCGGCCTGCTGAACCAGCTCTGGGTCATCTCACCGCCACCCAGTCGACCCAGGGTCGACTGGGTCAGGTTTTCCAGGGGGTCTCCAAGCTCTTCGCTGCCAGTCCAGGAAGGACTACCCTTGTCGAGCACGTCATCTGGCTGAAAGACAAAGGCCCAGTTCACCAGAGGTCTTATCGGGTTCCCCAACATCTTGTCGCCCAGCTGTTGACGGAGGTGGAAGATATGCAGCGCCTCGGTGTGATCGAGCCATCCCAGGCAGAGTGGTGTAGTCCGGTGGTCATCGTCGTGAAGAAAGACGGGTCGCTCCGCATCTGCATCGACTTCCGGAAGCTCAACGCCATGTCAGAGTTCGACGCCTACCCGATGCCCCGGATAGACGACCTCCTGGAAAAGATTGGCCGGGCCCGGTTCATCACGACCCTCGACCTCTGCAAAGGTTACTGGCAGGTGCCACTAGAAGCGTCCAGTCGTCCCTACACGGCGTTCCAGACCCCTGCTGGCCTCTTCCAGTTCACCATGATGCCATTCGGTCTCCATGGAGCACCCGCCACATTCCAGAGACTGATGGACCGTGTGCTCAGGGGCTGTGAGGACTGCAGTGCTGCGTACCTGGACGACGTGGTCATCTTCAGCGACACCTGGGAACAGCACCTGCATCATCTGGAGAGAGTCCTCGGCCAGATAGAGCGGGCGGGACTGACACTTAACCCGTCAAAGTGTCAGTGGGCCAAAGAAGAGGCTAAGTATCTCGGCTACCGGCTGGGGCGAGGAGAAGTCCGACCACAGATGGACAAAGTAGAGGCCATCCGCAGCTGTCCACGCCCTCGCACAAAGAAGGAGGTGAGGTCCTTCTTGGGCTTGGCCGGCTGGTATCATCGGTTCGTCCCACAGTTCGCCACCATCGCCGCTCCACTGACCGCGCTGACGATGAAGGACCAGAGGAACCCGGTCGTCTGGAACGAGGACTGCGAGACAGCCTTCCAGGCCCTCAAGTCCTACCTCTGCTCATCGCCGGTGCTGCGGAGCCCCGACTTCGAACAGCGGTTCCTGGTCCAGACTGACGCTTCTGCCGTGGGACTAGGAGCGGTCCTGGCTCAAGGGGACCCTGGAGAAGAACGTCCTGTACGGTACCTGAGCCGGAAGCTGCTGCCGCGAGAGACCAGGTACTCTACCGTGGAGAAGGAGGGCCTGGCCATCAAGTGGGCTCTGGAGAGCCTGCAGTACTACCTGCTGGGAAGAGAGTTCGACCTCGAGACGGACCACCGGGCGCTGACTTGGATGAATTCCATGAAGGACCATAACAGTCGTCTCACCCGCTGGTACCTCTCCCTCCAGCCGTTCCAGTTCCAGATCCGCCATCGAGCTGGGAAGACCAATGTCGTGGCAGACTACCTGTCCAGGTTGCCGCACATCGTCAACCTCGAGGAGGAGGGGGATAATGTGACGGAGCGCCAGTGACTGCTCCGTCAACAGCTGTGTGCTGCTCTCTCCTGCGCTAAAGAGAGGAGCGCGTCTGCGTGCGTGTGTGGCGCGGCATGCCGGCAGGTCCGCGCTAGTAACCGCACGGCCCTGCATCAACACAAAACTCTTCCCCTGCCAATACTATCCCCGTAGCGCACAAGGGTGCACACTTGCTGCCTACACACACATCTCATCTTCCCCCATACACAACTCACCTGCTGCTTGTCTCGGTCCACTGGCCAAACCGAGGCACTTCCTGGTCGCACCATATATAGCGCAGGGCGCGCGCATGTGACTGGCCAGAGGACTCTAATTTCTTAAAGTATTAAAAATGTGTTTTTTTTTCTATTTGTGCATTGCTATATGGGGCAATGGAGAGGCATGTTCACACTGAGGAACAGGGAGGGAACTATGTGTGGGATTTCGTTGTTTTTCTGTTTAGAAGAAAAACCCCTGTTAATTTATTAATGGGTTAGCCCAGGGGCGGGGCTAACTAGTTAAAAGAGTGCGTGCTCACTCCGGAGTGTGGTTCTGTCAGTCTGTGAGTGAGCTGGGTTGAGCTGTACTGGAATTGAACCCAAACTGAGCTGGCTGTAAGTCCTGTCTGTTTTTGTGAGTCTGTTGTTTTTCCCTGCACTGTAAATATGTTTCACTGTTCACTGTTTTGGTGTGTAAATAAAACCACCACAATTTATTTTCCCGTCTGAGCCATCATTATTCCCATCATTTTTAAACGAACCTTCACACCCCTGCTCTACAGTATTTGCTTCCACATACTGTATAAACTAGGAATCGGCAACCTGCGGCTCCAGAGGCGCATGCGTCTCTTTCCTTCTGTAGAAGGAAAAACGTTCTTGACGTTTTTAAATGCTGTAAAATTGCGCATAAGTAATATTCAATTTAAGTGTTTCTGTCAACGTAGTGCATGATATCCTGCGACGTAGGCCCACGCCAGGCGGCCGCTGTTGTAAACAAACCGGCGTGTGAGTATCATAGACTGTGCGCATGGATCCCAAAGCTAAAAAGAGAAGAGTCGATAATAAGACTGGACTAAGAATTAAACTTAACATTTGCTTTCAGTCAATGAGGAAGGCCTGCTTCATGTTTGTGATGTAACGAGAAGTTTCTATGAGATAATTGTATTTGTGCTTAGAAACTACAAAAATGGCCGCTCGGGGTGGAGTTGAACCTGTGTCACCTGGATGGGGGCGTGGTCAAAAGCGCCTCATTTGCATTTAAAGAGACAGCACCAAAACAGGTTGCTCTCAGACGCACCTCAGAACAGGTTTAGAAGAAAGGCCCGTGGAGCTACAAATAATGAGACTCAGACCCAGGCATTGCAGTTACGCTTTATATAGGCCACAAATTAATGATTTAGATGTAAAAATCAATTATTTGAAAACACGATATGTCCACTTTAAGGCTGGTCCAAAAGTGGTTCTTGGTCCAAAAGTGGTTCTTGGTCCAAAAGTGGCTCTTGGTCCAAAAGTGGTTCTTGGTCCAAAAGTGGTTCTTGGTCCAAAAGTGGTTCTTGGTCCTAAAGTGGGTCTTGGTCCAAAAGTAGTTCTTGGTCCTAAAGTGGGTCTTGGTCCAAAAGTAGTTCTTGGTCCAAAAGTAGTTCTTGGTCCTAAAGTAGTTCTTGGTCCTAAAGTGGGTCTTGGTCCAAAAGTAGTTCTTGGTCCTAAAGTAGTTCTTGGTCCAAAAGTGGTTCTTGGTCCTAAAGTGGGTCTTGGTCCAAAAGTAGTACTTGGTCCTAAAGTGGTTCTTGGTCATAAAGTGGTTCTTGGTCCTCTTGGTTCCAGATGCTGTCTGAGGGGAGTATAATGGTTTTGGACCAGTCTAGTTTAGTTGCTGTGGACTTTTGAATGCACTCGTTAAATGAATGAGGCTAATGCAGCTAACGCACAAATGTGTTTTTTCACATGTTCCAGCGGCCATTTTGAAACTGCCCACAGACGGTGAAAGTGATGTCACATTAGTTTCAACAGCGGAGATAGAAGTGACTACGTCTGTTCATATTTACAGTCTATGGTTGGAGCTAAAACATGCAGCCGCACCTGCCCTTTGAGGACTGGTTTGACAGCACCGGTCTAAGCAGCAAAATGTGGTTCAGTGGAGTCAAACTAACAACCTCCAGTTGAACGCATCCAAAACATGTGAACTGGTCTACGACTTCAGTCGCAATAGTTCTCATTTGCCTGTCGTAATCGACAACTCCCAGGTGCAGATCGTAGAGGAGTGCAAGTTTCTGGGTTTAACTCTGTCTAACCTGAAATGGGTTAAAAACACTGACCGAGTCGTTAAGAAAGCTCGTCAGCGTCTCTACTTTCTGCGTAAACTTAGAGAATTTACCACTAACTCTAAGATTGTGCTTAACTTTTATGGCTGCACCATTGAGAGTTTACTTGTTGGTTCTGTGTCTGTGTGGTTTGGAAACATCACAGATAAAGAAAAGAGAGCTTTAAACAAGGTGCTCCGCTCTGCAAAGAGGACCGTGGGCTGTGAGCTTCCTGTTCTGGAGGTTGTTTATAAATCCAGACTTTTAAACACAGCTCTTAGGATTGTTAATGACTCTTCTGGCCACCCTGGGAAAGCCATGTTCCAGCTTCTTCCCTCTGGCAGAAGATATCGCTCTCTGACAGTTTTTATCCACAGGCTGTTATCAGTGTGAACAGAGCACTTTAATGATTTGCACTTGTTTTGAAATTGTTTTAGTCGATCCATTTCACAGTGACATTTGTTTACTGTTTTATTTGTTTTATTTTTTTGTCTGTATTTGTCTGTGCACACTGGAGACTTTTGCTAATGTATTCCAATGTGGTGTTTTTACTGCAAATGGCAAATAAACTGAATCTGAATCTGATGTGTGATAATTATAATATTAATAATAATAATAATAATCAAAAGAGACAACACTCAAAACTTGTGAGATTTTAGCTTCTCTTGCATAGAAGTGATGTCAACTCTCTTGAAAGGAGCTGTGTCCCGGAGCCTCATGCTAATGCTAATGCTAATGTACAGATGTAAACATACTACTATATATTTACTGCACGAGAACACACAATACTTTATACTGTCTTCTTCTTATTCCAGAGGTAGATTTTAGACTTGTTTCTTTGAGGCTAGTGTCAAAGATTTATATTTATTTTATTTTAGTACAGAGTTATTGTTCTTTGATCTCGTGCCGTGTGCTCCTCGTTCCTGCCGCTCTGTACCTGACGATGCAACACTGACATTTCACTGTAGGACGAGGATCTCTTCATCTTCATCATAATTAGGACTAAAATCAGCCAAACTGTGGCGTCCGTCAGAGGCACAACTTTATGGAACACAAACAAAACTGTGGAACCGAACGTTTAAGGATTATGGCGCCAGATTTACGCCAAAAGTCCACACGCGCAAATAATACATACACGCGCAGCTTTATTTAATTCACACGCGCGCAAACCACTCTCCACGCGCACATTTCACCACACACACACGCGCAGATTCAGTACCACGAGCAAGAATACACGCGTGTGTGCGTTCGTGACATGCCTTCTCCTGCTCGTGGTCTGTGTTCTGCGCGCGTTGAAAACTTTTGCCATCTCTTCTACGCGCGTGAAATATACTTATGTCGCTTGGGGGGCGGGGCCACTGCTTTCCAGGAATTCCCGCGGTTAGAAGATTTGGTTCAGAAGACGAATACTTGGTGAGCGTTTTATATTTATTTGATATATAAACATATTACAATGTAGGCTACGTCCTTTATTCATATGTTTATACATACTAAGGCTACAATGACATTATAAACATTAACATGCCTGTTCAGTAATCATGGATCATCATGGAGGATACAGGAGAAATACTGTACTTATAGTAAAGTGAGTCCTGGTCAAACATCACTCAAATACAAGTCAAAGTTGTTCATTAAATCATTACTTATGTTAATATGAGACAACTTAAGTAATCATAGCAAGTATACACTGAGCAGAGGTAATCTTTTAGGCAACCTTCAAACTAGCACCAAAGTGACACAATTTGTTTTGCCCCAATATGACCTGCCGCTCACCTTAGTTTCTACAAACAGCAAACATACAAAACTACCTCCCTCCTAAAATATAGTCATACAAATGTTTTTTTTTTAACTATCTTTCCATAGCTAACATCGCGCCGGTGTCCCAATCGTTGCTTGTTTGCCCATGTCCATCATTTTAATTAATTAATTGATAGTAACTAAGTTCTTCTCATTTTTAACTGAAATTTAGTAGAAAACTACTGAAATAAAGGACGTAGCCTACATTGTAATATGTTTATATATCAAATAAATATAAAACGCTCACCAAGTATTCGTCTTCTGAACCAAATCTTCTAACCGCGGGAATTCCTGGAAAGCAGTGGCCCCGCCCCCCAAGCGACATAAGTATATTTCACGCGCGTAGAAGAGATGGCAAAAGTTTTCAACGCGCGCAGAACACAGACCACGAGCAGGAGAAGGCATGTCACGAACGCACACACGCGTGTATTGTTGCTCGTGGTACTGAATCTGCGCGTGTGTGTGTGTGGTGAAATGTGCGCGTGGAGAGTGGTTTGCGCGCGTGTGAATTAAATAAAGCTGCGCGTGTATGTATTATTTGCGCGTGTGGACTTTTGGCGTAAATCTGGCGCCATAAAGGATGTCCTGAAACATCGGTTGAATTGAAACCAGTCGTGCTCACATTAGAGCCGCTGCTCCTTGGACTTTCTCTTTTAAACTCGTTATGTTGTGTTTGTCGACTCATTGTTTGTACTTTTACCTAACTGTGTGTGTGTGTGTTTCTAACCGTGTGTTTGTGTGTTACTTCCTAAAGAACAACAGATGCTAATTAGCTGTTATGCTAATTCCAGCACATGTATGTTGACGCTGCTGACACATTAATATGTCCTGTCCTAAAACCAAATAATAAATAAATGGCTCTCAGTAACATGTTTGTGACTGACCTGTCCTCCCACTGCTGCTCTCTCTCTGAACTCTGTAA